ACGACGACGACGACGGCCGGCGATACCTGGGATGTCTGTAGCTTCTATGGCATTTACTTACCTCTATGAAAGGTTTGGACTGTTGGCAGCTGCCTCCGGATGGCACCTCTCTTCTTCCGGGCCGGGCTCTGTTGGCTATTCTGAAGTTATCCTGGAACCTTCTAAGATATTCATCGGTGAGGGAGTTGTTGAGGCTTCCGAGATTGGCATCGTCCATCATATATCTAGAAATTTTGGAGTCTCCATAAACCCTAACTCATCTCGGTAGACGCAGAGTCCGTATGAAGAGCCAAGGGGCCTGCCAGAGGGTCGGTCGGTCGGGCCGGAAGGTCGGTTTGTTGGCCCGTGGTTTGTCTTCTTATTCATTTAGTTTTAGTAAATCTCACAAGTTATTTCAATTCTGATTATTTGTTGGGGTTAGCTTCTCCACTTTTTTGGAATTATCTAGTATTTATTTCAACCATGAGGATAGAAATCTTCGATATCTTGAAATATATATTATATATATTTATTAATTTACATAATATCATAAACTTGAGATGTCTTTTAAAAAACTGACAAAATCTACGATGAATATGCTTGATTTTTATTCATAATAAAGAAATAGAAAAATATATATATATATATATAATATAATAAAATGAAATTACGAATCCGCATCATGAAATTTGCGTGCGCGGTCGTTAGATCATTGTAATGAAATTCTCCGTAAATTTCATAGGTTTTTTTTATTTCTTTCTATACGAGGGTCTTGGAGATTTAATTGAAATTTCTCGAGAATTTCATATATTTTCTTTAATGAAAATCTCTGGAAATGATTAGTTTCTCTATGAATTTCATAAAAATATTCCCAAGAAATTGTATAAAAATATGAAATCGATTATTCAATTCATAAGAAAACTAATAGAAACATATTTTTATATTTATAAGATAATTAGTCGGGTTCTATCTCTCTGCTTCTCTCACTATCTCATTATATCTCGATCTCTCACTCTATCTCTCTTTTCTTTATCTTTCTCTATCTATATCTCGTTTTGAATTTATTTCTCTATCTCCTTTTGAATATCTCTCTTAGTCCCTCTTTCTGTCTCTATATCTTAATGCCTCTCTCTTCATTCTATTCTTCTTCTATTCTGTATAATTATATTCTGCGGAGGATTCTCGTCTGGATATAAAATGAAAATTTAGATATTCGAATATAATATTTAAAATAAGATTAATATAATATTTCGTTTGAATGATATTGCTAGACATAATTCTTTATTCCTTGCCGTCTTCCTTAAATTATATTCAGATAGTGAATAGTAGCATTTCACGGCTTTGCTACGCGATTTGCTGCTGGAAGCAACGGACCCCCTAAATTTATATATATGATAAAATTAATTTGGATAAAAATATATTCTATTTAATAAAATGATATTCAGATATTCGATATTTATTATTCTACGAATTCGATAATGCGTAAAATTATATTTATATATTGAATCAAATAATCGCTATCGAAATAGATAATAAAAGTTCCGATATATTATATATTATTAATTAATTATATATTCTAGAATAAAATGATATCGTTTTATTTATGATCGTGATTCTATGTATGCGTATATATTTTTATTCTTCCTTTATAATTTATTTCTTTATCTCGTATTTCTTCGTGAAAATTCTATCATAAGATTTATTTCAGACTAGATTTTGCCAAGAGATATATGAATTCGTCTTTCATTTGACGATTTGAATTTTTATAGAAATATATGAAAATAATTCTCGATCCTCGAATAAGATTCTCCGAATTAAACTCATTCAATTCTTGAATCTCTAGAGGGACGAATAGGAATTATTTTTTGAAGAATTAAAAATTGTCTATCTCGGAATGAATTTCACCTATTTTAATAAATTTCCAAGAAACTTTTAAATCTAATATATCCCCATAAATTTGAAAGATAATTTTTAAATTTCTGAATAAATCCGATATAAATCGTAACGGGGAGGGGGGTATGATTTCATAAGGTATCAGGAAGGAATGCGAGGAAAAGAAATGGGAGAATAGTCTAAAATATTCAAATTCCCATATGATTCGGGGTTCATTTCTTTCGTTATCGAAACGAAAGGTAAATTACGATATTTTTCATAAATATCCATATAGATAGAAATTAAATGCGAACCGAAAACGTCCGGATACGAATCAGACGAATCAAATATCAATTATTATCTCCGTCAAAAATCTTTAGAAATTTTTATTCATTAGAATCTATCTTTAAAATGATCAAACTTTGACAAATTTTACTAACGCGGTATTTTCTAAAAGAAAAAAAAGAAAAAAAATATATATTTTTTCTGCAATTTAATATCGGGAGAGAAAGATTCGCGATATCAGATTTCCAAGATTTTAATCATGCGAGCAAAACGTATATAAATGTGCTACAAATGAAGGATTAGGAATTTCTTATATTTCCTATCAAATTCTGGCGGAAATGAGTCATGATCGAGTAAAAGACCTATAAATGCTATATTAAAAAGACGACTAGCGATTTCAAAAATCTTTTTATCAAATCTAATAGGGATGAGTCGCGGGCGAGCAATACGCCTATAAATATTTTATTAAATAAAGGATTAGGTATTTCGTATCTCTAGCAAAATCTGGCGGAAATGAGTCGCGAGCGAGCAAAACGCTCATAAATACTATATATTAAATCAAGGGCTAGGGATTTGATTTATCTCCTGATAAAATCTGGCGAAAATGAATCGCGTATAAGATCTATAAAAATAATAATAATATCGACTCAGATGAATTTCATTTCAATATCATCAGATTGAAAGAAATATTAAGTCTCCTCTCTTATCGAGGATAAAATAGGAATATTTTGTTGAAAATAGGGGAATTCTATCCCCCCCCTTTTAATATTTATTAGATTCTATCTTCTTAAGATTAAAAGTCGATTTATCAAGAAATAGAGAAATATTTATATTTCAGAAGATGAGATAAAGAATTTCTCAAGTCCTTGAAATTTGGAAGAAGTTCGTTTTTTTTTCTTGGTCGTAGTTTTTCTTATATATTTAGAAGAAAAAGAAGAAGAAATAATCAGGAGGTCTCGCCTCTTTAATAAGAAAAGAATTTTATTCTTATACCTACCTCTTCTTTCTCGGGAAGTTAATAGAAATTTTTTGTCGTGATATTAGAAAGAAATAATTTTCGATAAAGAATTCATAGATTTAATTTCAAATTTCCGCAAGGAGCTCTATCGTCTTAGTAATAGAGAAACCTCTTCCGCCTAATACACAAATTCAATCAAAATTAGTTTTGAATTCTCCCATCCAATTCCTACCCTAGCCGCCTAATCCGCCCGTCTAAATAGAGAAAAAAATATATATACATATATATATACGCATATATTAACATTAAGAGCCCGCTCACGATCGATAAGGAAAAATCTTTTAAGTTACGATAAAGCTTCCAAATAATGAAAGAGAATATATATTTAAGAAAAAAAGAATGGAGCTCCCTCCTTCCAATATTGAAAACCTCTCAATAATTAGAAGAGATTTCTTTCTAGTAGAGAGCGCCTATAGAAACCTCGTTCATAGCAAGAGAATATAGAAGTCCCCCATTTTTCACCACGAAAAATCCCCTTTCTTATCAATACAGACTAGAGATTGAATTACTACTACTATGATTATTATCATTAACTCCAATATGGTATGAATATATCAAACCGATATGCCGTTTGTATCGGAATTTACGACGTTTCTTATACTTGAAGAACTGCCTGTAGCATCGATTTATTTTAATACCAGTGATGCTGCTACCGCGGTTGTTAGTAGTGAAGCATCTATTCTTATGATCATTATCATTATTTTTATTATGTTGTTGTTGTTGATGTTGATGTTGGTGTTGTTGTTGCTGTTGTTGTTATTGTTGTTATTGGTTGTTGGTGGTGTTGTTGTTGCTGGTATTGTTGTTGTTATTGTTGTTGTTGGTGGTGGTGTTGTTGTTGCCGTTGTCGTTGTTAGGTCCGATGTTGACGTTAACACGGAAGAACCTACATGTCGTTTGTATTGGTTGTTACAACATATCCTATACTCGAAGTGCCTTTCGCATCGCTGGCGTCGGTATTTCCTGCGTGTATAGAGTGCGGAGGGGGGTGGCTGTTGTGCCGGAGATATCCAAGAAAGCACCCTCACCATTAACGTAGATAGAAACGAAATTACTTTCTCAAAATTTATGTCCAGCTCGCCCACGATATATCCAAAACTGACCCAAAACTTAAAAACAAAATACAGTAGCACGTTAAATACCATGCGCCATGTGAGCATCACTTCCACCTCGATAAATGCGACTAGGACCTGCAATCCAAAGCCATGAACCCTAAAAGCCCTCAAGTAACGGCAATCCCCGGGCCTTGGGGATGCCGGACAACCACTGATCAACACGATGCTTCCGCCCCACCTTTTGCGAATATATTTTTGCGCGGGCACCAAGCAGTGAGCTAAGTAGCCAGTCTAGCGTTGTTGGCATGAGGAAGCTGAAAGGGTCAAAGAGATCTCACTGGTCGACGCGCAGCAGCAGCTGTTGGCTTGCTTTGGCACGGTCGAGATCGACGAAAGTCCCAGGATGCACCTTCCCGAAAAAGAAAAAAGCTCCAGCTTGTGCATCAAGGAGAGAAAGCTGTATGTTTTTGGCAGCTGAAGAACTGCTGGATGAAGCGCATCTACATCGCTTACGAAACTGGAGAATCTGCTCCAGTGCTTTATTGCTGACCCACAGCCTAACTGTGGCCTGGAAGCCTCTACTAAATCGAATGTGAACTCTGGACGAGCACGTACATTATTTATAACAGACCTACATTGGTGAATAAGTGGTTGGCAGATGGTTGCATTTCGGGCTTGCGAGACCGACAAATGGCTTGACCGAGCACGCTTGCTGTTCGGTTTTTCCGACATAATTACCTTCGAACATGCTGGTGATGCAGCGCGTTCAGCCAACAGTGTCTTCCGATCCCCTGCCCAGGACATGCACGCAACCAGTATTATCCAGCCAACCTGTTTTCCTACAGTGACACCTGCGTGCATCATCAGTAAGATAAAGTTCCAGACGCAGGGTAAGCCTGCTAGGCTGGACTACTGGTGCATGATGAAAAGGTCAACGCAAATTATGTCTTCCGATCCCCTGTACAGGCAAGGATGCAACCAGCATTATCCAGCCGACCTGTTTTCCTACAATGACACATGCACGCATCATCGCTAAGGCAACAGTTCTATACACAGTGTAGGACTGCTAGGCTGTGCCGCTGGTGCATGAAAATGTAAACGGAAATTTCCAATTGATTCCTGAAAGGCCATCATTTTTGGAGCTATCGTCTCACACCAGTGACTGCTTTCAGCAGTGGCCGTGAGGTGTGCAACACGAAGCCCCTAAACTGTGACAGCATTGCGACTAGCGTCGCCATCGGGTTGCAGCCGATTCTAATGCAGAAAAAGCACCATGGGCACCGGTGGCGAATTGCTACGCCTGCTGGGGCGGCGGGTCGAGCTGCCGAGACAAGACATCGGTAGTCAATACTTTTCTTGCTACTATAACGTAGATAAATGTCTATATGCATGCAATCTGACCTGCAGGCTGCCTCACAAATCTAGAGAATAGATGTGAGTGCGTACTGGAGAATGGTAGCAAGGTTGATGTTTACAGTGACATTCACACCTCAAGGAATGAATTGATGAACACGCTCGGACAACGAGACTAGCGGAAGCCAACCTAAGCAAAAAGGGATTTACAACGGAGTTTGGTGCGGATCTACGTAGGCCGTCATCCTACCTATAGTCTCCATTGTCGTTCCATTTTTTGGTTTAACCAAATATATAATTAGGATCCTATAAGGTAACCCCAAACAGGAACTACAGTGGAGAGCATATAACCAAACATATAATTAGGATCCTGTAAAGTAATCCCCCAAAAAGAAACTACAAAGGAGACCATAGGTACAGTAATGATGAGGTCTTACAACGGCCTAGCTCGCGCTCTGACTGGCCAGAGCTTATATTGGGTTTTGGCTTTAGTTTTTTTTTCTCTGGCTCTTTTCTGACTGAGGGTTTAGGTTTTTAGCGTTTTGGGTTTATTTATTTTTTGTTCGGGCCCTTTTCCGACTGAGGGTTTAGGTTTTAGGGTTTTGGGTTTAGGTTTTAGGGTTGAAGGTTGAGAAAGTATTCTGGGAAGCAAAGGTTACTGCTAAAGGACAACAAGCGTTATCCGTGAGATTGTGCGGCTTTCCAGGATTGAGTTTAATCTACCCAATAACAATCTGGGCGATACTGGGACTCACAATGAGGATGGCAATAGGGACGAGATGTGTAATGCAACTCGTACTAGTAATTGAGACCTCCTAAAAAAAGATGCTGCAAGCTACAAACAAGTCGCGCCCAGGTTATGATAAAAGTATGACATAAGTAAAAACGAGTCCGAACGATAGGCTAGCTTTGACTGGTCAAGACATTCAGTAAGCAGGTAAGCCATCGCTGAGACGAGAGTATTCGACAGAAGTCTGTGAGAAACACCAGAAACTGCGGACTGTATTGGGATATACATAGAGGCCGGCAGTGGTGGGGGAGGCTATGCAGACATGTAGGAAGAGATGTAACGGAGGTACAGTGCGGATTGACGTAGGATCTAATCCTTTGATGAAAGGTCGAAAAATTTGCAACCGCAAGGCTTTGGTTCGAGTTGCATGGTTCATAATAGAAACATACGGGGACTAGGAAAAAACACAAATATGATCACAAATGCAAGAATGGTCGTATTTGTAGCGCATTGCATTGCTTGGTGTATCCCTGCGATCCCATGAACCATCTCAGTGGATGATGCCGGGTGATTGGGGGATAGGGGGAGGGGGGGGGCGGGGGTCGGGGAGGGGCGGCGGCGGCATACGTTATATGTGCATATGTACGCATATGTACACACCAGTAACAGTAACATGACAGATAAACAAACCTGGGGGGGGGTTCGCTATATATATATATATATATATATATATATATTTATATATATATATATATATATATATACACACATAAACATGAATGGAAATGTGCATACATACATGCATATATATATATATATGTACATATGTGTATATGGACATATGTATATGTGGACGCATAGGAATAACTGAATGGATTTGATCATATCTGTATGTATATAAATGCATGCAAAAGTCGTTATATATATATGTATATATAGAAATATGTCAACATGTGTATACATACATACATACATACATACATACATACATACATACATACATACATACACACACATATGTGCATGCATATTCATATACACATACGTACAAACGTATATACATACATACACACACAGCCATACATATGCTTACAGATATTGCATGTACGTACTACTCCTGAATGTTTCAAAGACGTTCTCTCTCTCTCTCTCTCTCTCTCTCTCTCTCTGCATGTGAAATAATTATGTCGGTGCTTGCTAGCGCTAAGTTCACCTTTAATAACACTTGTATACACATACACACAGATGCATAAGACTACCGGCAACTGCGAGTACCTGGAACCCAGCAGATGCAAGGCTGCCACGCAGCACCGATGTGAAATTCTGCCTCGAAAGAGTATAGGGAGTTTCCGAAAATTAGCGGGGTACCTTATTCTGGGATCCTAAAAAAAGGATCCTACTATTTGGGTTACTATATCAGGGTCCCCTAGTCTCGGAAACTCCCATATAGGGGCCTTAGTACTGACAATAGGGTTTCCTTTCAGAGCTCTGAGGGCTTGTACATATTCCTGGGTCCTGGTTGATAATTATTGAGGCCCCTATGTCTCGTTGACGAAGTGAAGCACGTGTTCCTTCACGGTAGGCCTGAAGCCAAGTGAATCGAAACATCGAAGTCGTAGGCTTCCGCAGAACTTTCGCTTCTTGCTGTTACTTCGTTGTGCCCAAGATAAGGCACCCCTAATTTTCGGAACCTCTATACTACCCTTATAAGGAATCCTGATCCCGCCAAGCCTCACTGCCGAGCCTGAAAGATCCCATCTGGCATGGTTCTTTTGGGTTTAGGGTTTAGGGCTTAATCTTTTTCAATGATTGCAAGTCAGCTTCTGAACGGAACGCTGTGCATCGCTGGCGTCGGGAAAAACTTGCCATCGCATCGTGCCGAACTCTCACGAAACCTTTCGTATTCGCCGGGAGCAGATCGCCTGTATCAACTCTAGTGCTGATTGTTCACCCTCTAGGGTGGCAACACTCCGAAATACCTACATCAAGACTTGGGGGGAATAAGCAACTCAAGCACGCGAAGTGGTGCTGGACAGCCCTCCTTTTGGCCTTGGGGCTGCGTCAGGAGTCGTGATCGAAATGCAGCACCGTGCTTCGTCAAATCGTGCTCTCGCCACAGTACCATTTATTCCCCGGTGGGAACCATGCTCCGACCACCGTGCTTCCGGCATTTTGCTCCTCACTGTTGGACCTCATGCGGTCTCCCTACACTTCCTTCGGGACTTGCAGTGGGCTCGTGATGTATCAGTGTGCAGCCAACCGAAACGGTTGGCTCCGGAAGTATTCTTGTCATCACTGACACTACTGCTAATTACTGCGGGTTGCTGATACTACTTCCTTCTACGACGACGACGACTACTACTACTCCTCTTACCCCTACTGCTACGATGATGCCTTCACTGTACTACTTCTACTACTACGACGGGCGACCGCTACCGCCGCTACCGCCGCTCCTACCCCTACCACCACCACTACCACTGGTACCACCACCACCACCACCACAACGACGACCGACTGCTGCTGCTACAGCTACAGTTACTGCCACTGCTACTGTTACTGCTATTGCTACTGCGAATGCTACGACTACTGTTAACTACCGTGGGGTTGCGGGGTCTTTGATACCCTCAAAACCCTTCCAGCAGAAGGGTCTACTTAGATCTCCTCCCAGCTGCTATGGGCTTTCGGCAATCGCAAGTCCGTAAAACTTTGCAAAATGTGAGGGGCTTGCTCGCTAGTACCAAGGTTTAGGGTTTAGGGTTACTAGGTAGTACGTACTACAAGCTAGACAGAAACTACACCACCAGGAACCTCAAGACCAAAAACTTCGCAACTATTCAAAGCCCGGAATCGGGACTTCGCAAAGCCCCCTAAACCCTAAACTCAAAAACACCTAAACCCTAAACCTAAAGCCCCCTAAACCCTAAACCACAAAACCCCTAAACCCTAAACCCCCAAACCCCCTGAACCCCCTAAACCCTAAACCTCCTATACCCTAAACCCAAAGCCCCCAAAGCCCCCTAAACCCGAAGAATCATTAAACTGCGGAGAGTCTCCCCTGGCTTAAAATCTCCTTCTTCACTCGCCAAGGGCTCAACTCTAGGAGCTTCTGCAAAAAGGACTCTTTGGAGAATCCCGGGTCGGGGCCCTCAGCTCGGCTCCCTGTGACAATCTGGCCTTACTTCGCGGATCTTCACTTCTATAGAGCACTGTAGGGTGTAAGGGTTTACGGCTTTAGCCGGTCAGAAGAATAGGAGTTTGAGGTTTACAGATTCGTTACACAGAATGACAAGGCCCAGGTGCACATGAAGTCACAAACTGCAGGGCACACGTCGTTCTGGCGCACGAGTGCCAACAGGGACACATGTCCTCAGGATGGAATGAGACCCCTTCTCACCAACATGTGGGTAGTTTTCTAAATTAGGGTCCCTGCTAGGGTACCGGACGCGTCTCCACAATGCAGGATCCTACTAGACGGCTTTGATGACAAGTATGCGTTTGGGGGGTATGTATAAATAACTTTACAGTCTTTTTATGTTCTTACAAGCATTTTAGAGGGATATCTCTTCCTTATCGGGCCCATTATAAGGGGCTGTATATGGGATATCCCTATCCTACTTTGCCCCCGGTGTTACAACTTCTCTCATTGCTCTGTCGGTGTCGGCTTGACTGCCCGGGGGCTTGCAGACCTGGAGGAGCTTGGGACTGCGATCGCGGATCGTAGACCTTTTTATGTGTTATATATATATATATATGCAATTTGTATGTATATATATATATGTATGTATTTATTTATATATATATATATATGTATGTGTATCAGTATCAGTATACAGTGACAGCGAGAGGGAGAGCCAAAGCGCGCTAAGAACCAAAACAAGACTGCAGAACTCGTTGAGTTTCCCTTCCGGTCCTTCTCTGCTGTCGCTCTCAACGGAGCTGAACGAATCGAAGGCCTCGTTCCACAAGTCCCATTGATGGTCTGGAACAGAGGGTTTGATGAACTTCCTCCTGCAAGGCTCGGTCAAGAACGAGGCTTCGAGCGTGCCAGACAAGCAACGGTAGTTTCTTTGTAGGGGCCTTGATGATTGCAGTAGCTGGGTTCTGGAGTAATGTAGAAACCTGATTAATAAACCTTGGGCCTTTATTAAGGTTCCTTATATGAATCCTACTATGTTGGGGTTATGGGGGTTTCTTAATCAGGTTCCTACATTATGCGTTAGTATAATCACATTACTCTGGCCCCTGAGTCTTTTGGATCTTCAAACGAGACCTTGACAGCACAAGAACAAGCAACGTATCACAGTATGCGTATGCTTGGAACCAAGTGGAATACGCTAAGGCTCCATAGTAGGTCCTTTTTGGGACTCCTATTTAAAACTCCATACGGTAATCACAAAAAGGAACTACTATGGAGCCTCTGGGTACCAACAAGAAAACGTGCAATAGGGTAATACCGGGGAGCGTAGATATTACGTGGCCAAACCCCACACCCAGAGACTCCAATATCCCTTAATTAAGGAATATTCCATAAATTATATTAGGGATCCTACTATAATTTAAGGAATATCCCTTAATATCATATTCGGGATCCTGCTATATAAGGAATATCCCTTAATTGAGGAATATTCCGTAACTCGTATTATCGATCCGACTATAATTTAAAGAATATTCCTTGATTAAGGGATATTGGAGTCTCTGGGCACCACCGAGCACACTATTTCAGACGGTTGACGACTGATCACACAGCAGAAAACCAAGCTGGGTTTAGGGCCGTAGGATTTAGGGCACAAAGCTGCTCTTGGCAAGAATGGCAAGTCTACTCTGCAAGCTGCCCCCTAAACCCTAAACCCTGAGCCGGGCTTGGGACTTGTCAGTTTTTTCAACAACAAGTGGGAGATGATGGAATCGCAGAGTGCTGGCAAAAACCTTCTGGTGTCCTCATCCAAGGGTTTAGGGTTTAGGGTTCTTAAAGTGTTGTGTAAGGCCACTTGCAAGCGAGCTGAGCCGAGGCAGATGATAAGACGCTGCCCAAGGAAACATGAAGAATCACCCCCGGCCAGCCTCGCGGTGACAGCTTCACCGTTCTTTGCGAACAAAGCCTCCTCAAGATGTGCGCACAAAAATATACGGGCCTTCATGAGTACGATAAGGGTTTGGGGGATATTCTACTATAACTGTGTTAATTAAGGAACCCCCACCCTCTTCTAACTAATCAGGCCCCTACGTTACAGTTTGAAGCGATTTCTCTCGAAAAGAAGCGGCCCGATCCTTCCTCGCCAGGGCCTCCTCCAGTTTCGCTACCTGCAGTCCTCGGTGCAATCGGTGCTATGCTCCGAATAACATAGGGGCCTTAAGAATCAGAATCGGATTTTGGGGCCCAGTATACTCTGTTTATAATTTGGAACCCCAAAGCAGTATGGTGATTATTTAGGCCCCTATCCTAAACCCCCATAATGCCCCATAATAGTAGTCCTTACAGACCCCATGGTCATAATTTAGGCCCCTACCCAGACCCCCGGGAGGATCCAAACAGTAGGTCGAATGGGGTCGTCCAATACTTGTGCACATGGTGAAGACAATCGCGCTGTCGACAACACGACTGGAGACTATGATGATGCATCTGAAGCAAACGGCTTCGCTCACAGTGCGCGGGACATCGAAAGTTGCCAAAAGCGAGCACACTGCAGTGCTGGGAGGGCGCCGGCCTGCACTTTCCTCGACGCTGCTGCGCATACTCCTGAGAGGCGACAATCCAACTCCGGAACTCGCAGATGCGGACGCTGCTGATGCTGGTGATGCGGGTGATGCAATGTCCAGTGTGATGCTGGTGAAGCTGGTGATGCTGGTCCTAAGCTCCCCCCCCCTCCGTTCCTCCAGGATGATGCAGGCGCTCTTAGCACAATCCACCAGCTGTCGACGCAGCTGCTTGCGGCTGTTGTGGCGTGCGGGATGAGGATTTCTGCCACAAACCCTAACCCCTAAATCGTCGTGCCTGCAGGCTGGCGCACCGGCGCCGCAGGTGGACGGAGAGCCTGGTAAGTTGCGGCAGTTGTTCTTAGCACTTGGAGCTCAGACAAACCCACGCAACTCAAGGCAGGAAACTGTCTTGACCCGAGGAATTTGCTGGCAGCTCAGCAGCTAGAGGTTTGGTTGCAAGCCTGGAAGCGAGACCCGGCTCAACCTCGACCCCAGCTGCTGCTGACACCCGCTAAGGCCGCCGAGGTGGTCAGGGGTTGCTGGTGGACAGCCGAGAGGTTTTCTTTAACCAAGGAGCTCGGCAAACATCCCACTCGCTTGTTGAGCTCGACCGGGTTGCCAGGAAGCAGTCTTGAGCAAACTGGCTGACTCCACTCTTCGCTCTTACGGTCGCGGTTGGAAGCACTGGGAGATGTCGGAGCGGTATGGGGGTTTCCCTGTTCTCAGCGGTGAAACTCGGGAAGAAAAGAGGACCGATGAACAATGGCTTGTCGGTTCGTTGTCTTCCTTCAAGAAGCTGGGCAGAACCGCTCCCGGTAGCCGTCTTGGGGGCCGCGAAGCTTCTGGAGGTGGCTGGTCCCGGCTTTGGCGGCACCACCAGAATAGGAGGAACCTCCGCCTCCCGACAGGGTGCCGGGCCCGCCTGCATCTGAGCCAACACATGGGCGTGGGGGTTCTACTAAAGTACCCTTGGTAGTATAGGGCCCAAAATTAGGGGATCGACTTTCTAGATCCTCCCGAAGGTCTGGGTATAGTCTGTTGAGAGCTCTGTGACCGAAGCATGAACTCATGCCGAAACTGCAGGCCAGGCACTGAGCAGCTGGCCTGCAATGGAAAGCTGAAGGGCTGAGGGCTGAGGGTTTCGGGTTAGGGTTTAGGGTTTAGGATTTAGGGTTTAGGGTTTGGGGGGGAACAGCAACTTGCAAACATGAAGCTTGGAACTGCGAAGCGTAAGCTCGAAGCCCAAAACCGAGCCCTCAGCTGCATAGCACCGGCCTACGACCAGATTGACGGCCGGGTTGCCTCAACAGACACATCAGGTAGGGTTTAGGGTTTTCGGGATCGAGACTTGAGACGGAAACGTGTACAGGGTGCAGGATGCTTGAATACCCGCAAAGTCTATCGTCAAGTGGCAGAAACCGGTTCATGAGAGTTGAATGGCCACTGCACAAAGGTCCCTTCGTGTATGCACTTTGCGCACCATGGTCATGCATGACATGAGGACTGAAACGGCGCCGAAGCTGCCTTCCTTGTGGCGAAACTCTGTCGGGCACATGGCAGCGACGTAATCCTCCTAACCCGTGACAGGGCATGACATGGTCTGGCGTAGCGGCCTGTGCCTACCATGCCTGTCGGAACGCACCGGCCCGAACACGATGACACAGAAACTGCAGATGCGTGCCCTGCAGGAACCAAGGATTTGAAATGGCACACAAGCAAGCTCCATGCAGGAGGTGGCGTCCTTGGTCACCCTGGAGCCTCCGTCGTAGAATCGCTTGCGGAAGGCATCTCGCGTGACGCTCGCCTGACCAGTTGCTCCAAGACAGAACTTGGCTGTACCAGGCCAAACCGGACAGTACCTACTCATCTCGACCCTTCACCAAATCGCGTATCGGTCCCTGGCCTGCAATCCATAAACGCAAGCCTCTCATACTCTCAACCGTAAACCTTAAACCCTAAACTAAACCCTCTATATACCCTAAACCTCCCGGCCTGCAACGTGTTGTACGCAAGGCCCTCATACTCTTCCAGCAACTCTTGGCGAACACGCGCTGGAAGGACTGGCCGGGCGACATAGCCTCCGGAAGACGATGACCATGGTCTGAAACATCTCCAAAAAACTGGTACTTATGATTCTTGTTATTGCTATATTTGCGATTACTATTGTCATTACTAATAAGTGTTATTCATGCTGTTTAATAACGAGTACTGTCATTATTGTTCTTGCTTGTTGGTATTTGCTACTGGTGTTTTACTCTTATTTTGATTACTATTGCTATTGCTACTACTATTGCCGTTACCATTACCACTACCATTACTATCACCATTATCATTATCATTACCATGACTTGTACTATTACTATTCGGATTAACTAGAGCTACTAGTAGTGTTGTTATTACGTACAATTATTTTAAAAGTCACTATTACTCTTGTTATGATTATTTTTATTGTCATTGTGATCATCATTATTTCTGTCTTTATTGCTATTGTAACATTTCTTGCTATTCTCATACTTACTATTATACTATTACTACTACTATTCTTACGATTACGATTCCTATAACTTTTCTGTCTCTTTATCTGCAACTTGGAAGCTTTCGAAGTACTCTTGCATGCGGCGGGAAGTCGCCAAGTGCACCTTGAGCTCCTCTATATGGTCCAACCTTACAGCTCCCGGCAAGAACAGCTAATGAGGGGTTTACAGCACCTTCCCAGCATTCCGGAATCTTGAGAGAACTGCATACGGTAATCCGATGCTGCGTTCCCAGCGACTCTTTCATCCAAATCTGGAACAGCCGAAGGTGGCGAGGCTTGACAGTCGGGCACAGCTTTCTGAAGAAGAGCGATAAGATGGGCTTCCTGAGAAAAGTGTGCTTTTTGACTTCGGAATATTGCCCTGCTATGAACGCATAGCTCGGATTAAGTATAGGCGCTGTGCAAACCAATCGTCCTCTAGCCCCTACCACCAACACAAACACCCGAGGAAAGCAGAAATCGACATCGCGCAGCGTTTCGTTTGTTGTGTGTCCTCGTGGCTGTGTCTTCGAAGCAGACATGTTATGAGAAGACATGAAAACTCTGAAGCTGTGAGAGAAGTGTAGCTTCAGAGCGTTGTTGTTGCATCGGACGTGAGGCACCTGCCTCTGTGGAATCGTGATTGAAGTTGCAAGTTCGCATACGATGCCGGTACTGCAATAAAGCGCAATGTTTCAAGTCAGTGCAAGAGTCTGCCCGAGACCCCGCAAACGCTCCATCTCGTCCAGACCTCAGATGCAGGTCGGAACAGCATTTCAAAGTAAGCAAGCATCTACATTAGCCCTATGTGCATGCATGGTTGTGCGATCTGAAGATCGCACCTCGTACCAGTCGGTCGCACCATAGATCTGGCGGAATGAACACCCCGAGCGCACCTCACACAGATTCGGCGAGATGCGAGGCTTTGGCGCTGAGCTTTAGGCCACCGTTCGTGCAGCCACGTGGCGCCCGATGTCTTCGTGAGACAAAGAGAAGTCACACTGCCTCTCGCACTCGCGGAAGACTTTCCGCACAAGACCTGCAAACTCAGGCTTTCATCCAGTTGCTCCACCAAGCTGTCGTTTCAACATAACTACCCATAGGCCGCATAGCAGGGTAATTCCGGGTCATGGATCCGGAACTTCTGACACAGGGGGAGCTTTGGTTCAAAAAAATGGGACCACAGTGTCGTGCGCTTCAGCACACACCAAGAAGTGTACGCACCCCAACTCCACGACGAACCCACAGAGCCCAATACCCCCTTCATTATGGAATATACCTTAAATTATGAGGGGATTCATATTATGATTGAATTCTATATTCCTTAATTAAGGAGTATTGGGCTCTCTGGGAAGCCCAGTCGGCCTATCTCATCACGGCGGAGAAAACCTGTGCAAGTCACGGGCGAGGAACCCGTGAAGCCTAAACCGGAATTGAGGGTTTAAGGTTTAGGATTCTGGGGCTTTAGGGTTTAGGATTTCCGCTGGACCCGACGCGCGCGCCCTGCGACGGCATATTCAAGCACCTTTGCGCATGCTCTGCTGCTTCTGCTCACGTCTCTGCCCAAAGTGTCGCACCCCCGTAATCTTGAAACCCCCTAAACCCTAAACCCCTAAACCCAAAACCTCTAAACCCTGAACCCCTAAACCCTAAACGCCCCCAACCCTCACCCCCAACACTAAAGCCCTAAACCCTGACATCCGCCATCTCCTCAGGCCCCTGAGGCGAGGAGCTCGTGTCCAACGCGGCTGCTGTCTGCAAGGGCAACTCCACCGGGGCTGTGTGGGACAGCTTGAAACTCTTATCCTGTCAGGCTGGTTACAGGTAGGGTTTAGGGTTGGGATGGGTTGGGTTCTGGGTTGTACTTTGATGTAGGGTTTAGGGTGCAGTCGGTTTAGTGGCGTTTGGTGGGGTTTAGCGTTGAAGGTTTCGTGGGTCTAGTCTCGGGTCTAAGGTTTCGGGTGCGGGGTTTACCAGGCCTAGTGGGGCTTATTTAGTCGGGTTATCGGTTTTGGATTCAGAGGGTCGGGGGTTCTGGGTAAAGGGGTTTGGAGTCTTTGCCTGGCTTGGGACCAGAAAGAGGAGGCATTGGTGACACCCGACTCCCTTAACACTGAACCGGCAAACCCTAAACCCCTAAACCCCTGAATCAGAAGCCTAAACCCCCAAACCCAAAACCCCTTACTAACAAACCCCTAAACATCCCTAAACCCTAAAACCCTAAACATCCCTAAACCCCCTAAACCCTAAACCCCTCAACCTAAACCTCCCTAAACCCCAAAACCCTAATAATCCCTAAACCTCCCTAAACCCCAAAACCCTAAACCCTCGGCCAGAGGCCCTCCTCATCTTCGAGGCTCTCGGGGTCATCTTCAAGCTCACGAACCTATACAGTAGAAGCCAGAAAGTTGGAATATGATTATCGTAACCCCTTTAAGGTAAATTCTAGGGGATCCTACCATTAATCCCTTTTCCAACTTTCTGGAGTTCCTTTTACTGAACTCAGAACCCTAGCACAAAAGTTATAATTTTAGCTGTTTCCTAGGGATTATAAAAACCAAGAGTTATAACCAAAAAATAAAAATTATAACCAAAAACTAAAAATTATAACCAAAAGTTAAAAATCATAACAAACAATTAAAATTATAACCAAAAACTAAAAAATATTTCTAAGTACCCCTAAGGAACGGAGAAGCGCTCTAAGAGCAGAGCGAAGGGAGCAGCGAGAAGTTCTCCCCCTTCACTCAGGAACCACCTCGGAGGCTTGGGGTTTTGGGTTTTAGGGGTTTAGGGGTTTAGGGTTTAGGGTTTAGGTTTTAGGGTTTAGGGTTTAGGGTTTAGGGTTTAGGGGTTTAGGGGTTTAGGGTTTAGTTTTTTTTTGTGGGCCCTCTTCCAACTGCAGAACAGAAAACCTCACAGGTTTAGGGTTTAGGGTTTAGCTAGAGTTCCAGCATGCTTCTTCGAAGCTTCTCAGACTGGCCGGTCTCGGCCAACATGAGACAAGCATGACACAGATCGCTTAAACGTCCCCTAAGATCGAATCTTCCGAAACCGGAAACCCCTGAACCCCTGAACTCCTAAACCCTAAACCGCCTAAACCCCTGATACCTAAACCCCTGAAGCCCCTAAACCCAACCCCCTGAACCCCTGAACCCTAAACCCCAACCCCCTGAACCCCGAAGCTTCGCCAGCCAGGCACTCTTCAATGAGCCAGATCGGAGCTGAGTCTGTGGCTTTGATCTTCTTGGCCTGGCTCTGTTGATAATTGGGAGTTTCCGAAAATGGGGGACCCTAATATAGTACCCTAAATAGTAGGATCCTTATTATAAGGACCCCAAATTAAGGACCCCCAATTTTCGGAAACTCCCAATTCTTTACTCCGCTACGTTATGCTTCCGGCGTCTCGGACACTTCGCAGGTCGGAGTCGCTGGCTCGCTGCGAAGTTATAGTATTGGCTCTCAAAAATCAGCTATGACGCATATTTCAACTCCAAGCTGCCTCCCAGAAAGGCAACCTGCAGCAGGCCCTGTCGACCACCCGGTCGAAAAGGCACTTTCCCAGCTTTCGACGCACACTCGGCCTGAGATGCTGCAGCAAGAACGGCAACAAAGACGCAGTTGGGAGTCTGGGTTGCACCTGGCACATGCACCGACAAATGCCAGGGAAACTGTCAAGCTCACAATGGAAGGCTTTCGTGAAGCCCCATGATGCTTCAGCAAGGGTTCACCTCAACCTGATCTCACTCGCAATTTCAACTCTGAACCCTAAGGCGCAAAAGTCCATAATTTAGCTCCCAGCAACCCTAAACCCCAAACTCGAAAACCTCCAAGGTTAGCTTCCGGCCCCAAACCCAAAACCTCAAACCCTAAAGCCCTAAACCCTAAACCCCTAAACCCCTAAACCCCTAAACCCCTAAACCCTAAAACCCAAAACCCCAAAACCCTAAACCCCAAAAGCCTAAACCCAAAACCCCAAAACCCTAAAACGTAAAAGCCTAAGCCGTCTTCCTCCAAGACTCTTCGGAGCAAGGTTTACGGTGTCCACCAGTGCAAAGGCGCAGGCGATGCCGTGCAAAAAAGACGAGATCCTTCGGTTCTTAGGGCTTTAGGTGGTTCCTTGAAGGGATGATTTTAAGGGTTCCCTAAGAAGGGATCTATAGGGCTCTAGGGCTTTAGGGGGGGTTTAGGGTTTAGGGTTTAGGGGTTTAGGGTTTAGGATTTAGGGGCGAGATCCTTAGGTTCTTAGGGCCTTTAGGTGGGGTACCTTGAAGGGATCGTTTTAAAGGGTTCCCTAAGAAGGGATCTATAGGGCCTTAGGGTTTAGGGATTTAGGGTTTTAGGGCTCTAGGGTTTAGGACTCGCAGTTTGGGGCATGCCAGCTAAGGCCCAGCGAAGGATGCTTTGGGTACAAGTTCCTTAACCCCAAAACGAAAAGAGCATCAGCCCGAAATCCCAAACTCTTAAGCCATCGCCCAAAGCTCCCAAGCCTAGGGAGATGCATCACGAATCGGTAGCGCGATCATTTTACAAGGTGTGGGGTTTATAGGGTTCAGGAAAGTGTGCACCTCCCGCCATACAAATTTGGACTTGTAGCCGAAGGCATCTCCAATTTGTGAGTTATCCCAAACCCCAACTGGCTCTCAGACCAAGAATCATCTCCACAAACTGCGAAGAATTTAGGATCCGGCTGTCTTCCTCGTCAAAGAGACCCAGCCTTGATTCTGCAACAGGTAAGATCTCCTGGCTTACTGAAATGTTACCGATAGTCTCCATTGTGGGTTACCTTCTAGGATCCTTAATCTAAAGCCGGTTAAGCCACAACAAAGAACTACAATGGAGACCATAGGTACGTCTCAAAGATTCAGACATCATAAGGAACGCCTCGTTCAAACACTAAGCAAGGACATCCTCAATACTACGGTTTATGATTTACATCAAGCATTAGCCGTAATAAGGAATATACCATAACTACCATAGTTTAGGGCGTCCTTCAGGCAATACAAGATCCTCAAATACTACCCTAAGGCTCCATGTACCCTTATAGTAGATACTTAGGCCTTAAAGTACCTATATAGGGACTACTTTGGGGCTTAAGTATCTACTATAAAGGTACATGGAGCCTTTGGGCTATCACAACCCTCAAACAATAGCGGGGGAGCCCAATCTCGCAAATCCCCGGCAAAGCCCATGTCGCTTCGTCTTGCTCCTCGCGAACAAATCCAGCCCCGAATCATCGTAAACCCAAAAAACCCTCGCAGACTGTAGGGGCCTTAATCGTGAGAATATTAGAATTAGAATAGGGTTTTGGGCCCATTATACGATAATTACAATATAGAAAGAATCCCAGAAAATAGTCTTCGTAATTATTTAGGCCCCTACGCATAAACCTTCAGTCCAAAGTTCAGGCAACCACCCTAAACCCTATAAACCCTAAACCTTAAACCCTAAACCCCTAAAGCCTAAGTCCAGGCAGCAAGAACCGGATCTTCTGCCTCTTGGAGATCGTCGTTGACAGGAAGATGCCGGATGCCAGGAAAGCAGGAACTGAGATCTTCACCCTCTTCAGGTCCATGGCTGACCTAGAGCGGGGTTTAGAGCTTAGGCTTAGGATATAGGGTTTAGGGCTTAGGTTTAGGGTTTAGGGTTTTAGGCTTAGGATTAGGGTCTAGGGACTAGAGTAGAGTATAGGGTTTAGGGCTTAGGCCTATGTGGCGGAAAAGGGCGCTTGGGTTCAAACTTGATCTGACCGGCTATCGACTCGTCGTCGTTTGTTTAAAAGTCTCACAAGTCTCCGGTTTTAGAGTTTCGGCCTCTAGGCTTCCTTTAAAGTGGGCTTAGACGGTGTTGTAGTCTCATGATATAGCGGTTGCTAGATAGCAGGGTTCTACAAGGGATTGGGTCGATGTCCCGGCCTGGTGCTTGCATGCTGGGCATATGCAGCAGGATCGAAGAGCTTGACCCATGCGAGGGTTTTCCTTGAAGGCAGAGTAGTTGCAGTGAATGTTACGGGCATGTCCGAACTGCAAGCTGTTTCACACCGTGGAGCAATCACTGACGAACGGGTTTCTCCTTTGACAGAGAAACATGTTCGTAAACCCAAAGCTCGACCAGCTCAGCTAAGCATCTGCATGGGCACGGAGAGAAGCTCTTGCAGCTCGTACGCATCCATGAACCTTGGTCGATCCCGCGTGCAAAGCTCAGGGTTGCTAAGAACATCCCGGAAAACCAGCTCCCTCCCAGACCCCAGGCGCGAAACATCAAGCGGATGCTACTATAGGGGCCGTAATACTAATTAGAATAGGGTTTTGGTGCCCACTGTACTCTAGCTATAATAAGGAACCCCCATAATCGTATAGGTCATTATTTCCTGGACCCCCAAAGTATGTAGATTAATTTCCTTTTATAGGTATTGGGCTATTATTTTACCTACTTTTGGGGGTTTAGGTAGGTTAGGCCCCTACAGTAAAACCCGACGGACGTCCCAACTCTGCCATGAGGCTTTGGTGCACTGCCTGGCTTCCTCGGCTGAGCCGCGGCATCGCATGCTATCGTCTTGTCGAACTTCGCAGTTTATTTTTCGGGCATGTGACATTCTGCTGTGTGAGCTATGACAGCTATGAGAAAAGCCACCCGTGTGGTTAGTAGATTGCAGAAGGACTTCGAGACCAGTACTACAACGGCATCCCTGTTCTATAGGCATGTGCTGGAGACCCACGTAAGGCAACGGTTCCGGCTGCCACTCAGCATCTTGGTTCCAACAAGCTGCCTTTAATCTAAATGGACTGATGATCACCTGCCATGGGCCAAGCGACCATGATCCCATGGCTTGCCATCGATTGAAGATTTCGACCTGTGATAAGTGCTAGCAGCATCAGATGTCAGATAGGTCCCACCACATGGAGCACCACACAAGCAGAGCGACGGACACCATGTGCCGGGATATGGCCAACTCGATATTACCCCTGGCCTGAAATCGCAAGCTGGGCCTAAACCCTACCAGTAACCCTGTAGCAGGCGCACCCAGTAGTCGATGGAGCGAGTGGAGAGACCCCTGCACTCGGCAGGGGGTGTTCCCACGAGCACGCGGTTCCAAAAGTCTTCCTTGGCAATCGCACGGAGCAACTCCGACCAAAGGAAAAGCCTTTTCTGAAGATATCTGAAGGAACCTCATTAGAATGATCCCGAACCAAGGTATCCCGACTCTTGAGACCCCTTGAATTGGTCTGCAGCCCCTTCTTTCGACAAGCATCGAGCCAGTCAAGTTCAGGTTCCTCTGTGAAGATGTTTGCAGACAACTCGTCAAGCGATTCGTCGGCAAATGAAAGCTGGCGTTGCAGCTGTCCTAGCGCAAGACAGGTGCCAAAAAGTCCAAAGGACAACTGACGACTGGGGGCATGCTCAGACTGAGAAGCTTCATCAGTTCGAGTGCTAGTTGATACATAGGACTGGGAGGCTGCAGTCACTCACGCAGGTTCATCCGCAAGAGAACCACTGGACCAATTGCTGAGCTTTGCGGTGTAGCTGGACAAGACTGACATATGTATCATATGTAGACTTCCCTGCTATGTCCCCTTTTCATAATTTAGAGCCCGTTTTACCCCTAAGTTTTGAGAACTGCCTGTGCGTGCCCTGCTCGCGGATTCGGCTGAGCGATGGCTGGGACCAGGAGCTGCGAAAGGCAGAGACGTAGAGAGCTTTACGGAGAGACGGAAAGAGAAGAGCTAGAACGATCGGCAGACAGGCTAAGCACGGAATTGCATAGAAAGACAAAGCTGCACAGATACTCTCGGAAAAAGCGAGACATGATCGTCTGAGCAAGAGTTCTGGCAATAACAGGACACACTCCTGCAGCTTTCGACTTTTGAACATGGTCCTGCTGGGATGAGGGACAGGCGCCGCGCGCGGCCACCGCCCTCTCCTTTGGGGCTGGACCTGAGTACACACGCTTCAAGCATGGCCGCTCCCAGTCCCAAAGGCTCCATGTACCCATATAGTA